TTGGCAGACTGACCCATTGTGCCCCAGAGTCTGTTCGAATGTGCCCCACAAGTGGGGTACAGTGGAACACTTGACATACGATTTTCAAAGCATTTTGGTAATAAAATGTGTGTCGCAAGGAAATTTCTTAGTCGCTGAATAAAAACTACATTTACCCCTCTATGCATTAGTCCCGCCAACTTAAGTTAATATGCTGAATTAACGGCTCAAAATATGCAAAAGAAAAAAAGTGTCCCAACCTTCCCCACTTTCCCCTACCTACTAGAGCAGTTTTTCACTGCGATGTGTTGAAAGTCATCCTCCAGTTCTACGATTTGTCCTTTTGAGACTTGCTTTTTTTTTCGACTCGCCCGCCCGTGGTGTCGGACTTGTCCTATTTTTTTTTTCCGCGCCGGACTTGTCCTATTTTTTTTTACCGAGCCTGGCGGGGCACATCGGCGGCGTAATCGTGGTGTCAGACTTATTTTCACCACGCCGAGTGGGGCCGACGGGATGAGAAGCCGTCACTCATCAGCGACGAAGCCCACGTGTCATTTCGCAATACGACCAGGGGGCGTCGCCGCCCTCCATTTGCTCGCGCCCCGTTTCGAAATCTTCCACGTGATTGCCGCTCGCTCGCTTGGCTGGTTTCGCGCCGATTGCTGACACGTGATTGCCGTTACTCACTCATCCGCGACGAAGCCCACGTGTCATTTTGCAATACGAAAAGGGGGCGTCGCCGCCGCCCATTGGATCGCCCAATTTCGCAATACGACCACGGTACAAACTAACCAAACCAAAAAAGTTCTAGAGACCGCACGTGGAGCACACTAACCTAACCCTAGGTGAGGCCTGTAAGAGCGAAAGACAGAGTTAAGTCGAATGAGCCAAGAGCGGCGTGCGGTGCGGGGCAGTCGGGGCGGGATGAGGCGCACACTCCCTCGGCGGCGGGCGAAAGAGTGCTGCGTCGCCGGCATCGGCGTCGAGAGAGGACGTGCCGAAAAGCGTTAAGTAACGGCACGAGCAAGCATACTAACCTAACCCTAGGTAAGGCCTGTAAGAGCGAAAGACAGAGTTAACTCGAATGAGCCAAGAGCGGCGTGCGGTGCGGGGCAGTCGGGTCGGGATGGGGCGCACACTCCCTCGGCGGCGGGCGAAAGAGTGCTGCGTCGCCGCCATCGGCGTCGAGAGAGGCCGTGCCGAAAAGAGTTGAGTGACGGCACGTGCAAGCATACTAACCTAACCCTAGATAAGGCCCGTGAGAGCGAAACACAGTAAACTCGAATGAGCCAAGAGCGACGTGCGGTGCGAGGCAGTCGGGGGGATGGGACGCACACTCCCTCGGCGGCGGGCGAGAGAGTGCTGCGTCGCCGGCATCGGCGTCGAGAGAGGCCGTGTCAAAAAGATTTAAGTAACGGCACGAGCAAGCATACTAACCTAACCCTAGGTAAGGCCTGTAGGAGCGAAAGACAGAGTTAACTAGAATGAGCTGAGAACGGCGTGCGGTGCGGGGCAGTCGGGTCGGGATGGGGCGCGCACTCCCTCGGCGGCGGGCTAAAGAGTGCTGCGTCGCCGGCATCGGCGTCGAGAGAGGCCGTGCCGAAAAAAGTTGAGTGACGGCACGTGCAAGCATACTAACCTAACCCTAGGTAAGGCCCGTGAGATCGAAACACAGTAAACTCGAATGAGCCAAGAGCGACGTGCGGTGCGGGGCAGTCGGGTCGGGATGGGGCGCACACTCCTTCGGCGACGGGCGAGACAGTGCTGCGTCGCCGGCATCGGCGTCGAAAGAGGCCGTGCCGAAAAGAGTTTAGCGACGGCACGTGCAAGCATACTAACCTAACCCTAGGTAAGGCCTGTAAGAGCGAAAGACAGAGTTAACTCGAATGAGCCAAGAGCGGCGTGCGGTGCGGGGCAGTCGGGGCGGGATGGGGCACACACTTCCTTGGCGGCGGGCGAAAGAGTGCCGTGTCGCTGGCATCGGCTTCGAGAGAAGCCGAGCCGAAAAGAGTTAAGTGACGGCACGTGCAAGCATACTAACCTAACCCTAGGTAAGGCCTGTAAGAGCGAAAGACAGAGTTAACCTGAATGAGCCAAGAGCGGCGTGCGGTGCGGGGCAGTCGGGGCGGGATGGGGCGCACACTCCCTCGGCGGCGGGCGAAAGAGTGCCGTGTCGCCGGCATCGGCTTCGAGAGAAGCCGAGCCGAAAAAAGTTAAGTACAAACGCGATGCTAATGAGCGAGCCGTTGTCTCGACTAATATGTAGGAGGCGCTCGATCGAGCGTCTGGCTTGAGCGCTTGTCGGCCTATCAGAACGGTCGCATTGTTATGCCCGGGTTTTAGGCACCGCTGCAGGCGGCCGGCAGAGCTCTTGTTTGTGCGAAACTGAATGGATCGAGCCCGAGAGAGGGCGAGCAAAGACGAAACTCAAAGCGCTCCGCCTGGCACTGCCTGGCGATGGCGTGGACGTCGCGGCCAGCGACTGTCGAAGCCGAGTACGTCCGCAGGCGATCGCCTCGTTCTTAAACGAATGCGACGAGTACGCGCCGGGCGGCCCAGCAAGGGCCGAGCGCAGCTGTCGCAGCTATCTGGTTGATCCTGCCAGTAGTGACATGCTTTTCTCAAAGATTAATCCATGCAGGTGCAACTACGAGTTCTCGTAAAGCGAAACTGCCAATGGCTCATTAAATCAGTCTTGGTTTATTTGGTCTCGTAAGCGAAGTGGATAACTGTGGTAATTCTAGAGCTAATACACGCTTTTATCAGATCAAAACCGACCGGGTTCGTCCTGTGACGTTTGATGACTCTGGATAACCACGCGGATCGTACGGTCTCTGCACCGACGACGTATCATTCAAGTGTCTGCGCTATCAACTGTCGAAGGTACGCTCCGTTCCTACCTTTGTGATAACGGGTAACGAGAAATCAGGGTTCGATTCCTGAGAGGGAGCCTGAGAAACGGCTTTCACATCCAAGGAAGGCAGCAGGCGCGCAAATTACCCATTCCCGACACGGGGAGGTAGTGACGAAAAATAACAATACAGGACTCTAACGAGGCCCTGTAATTGGAATGAGTACATCCTAAAACTCTTAACGAGTATCCATTGGAGGGCAAGTCTGGTGCCAGCAGCCGCGGTAATTCCAGCTCCAACCGTAAGACAGAGTTAACTCGAATGAGCCGAGAGCAGCGTGCGGTGCGGGGCAGTCGGGTTGGGATGGGGCGCACACTCCTCGGCGGCGGGCGAAAGAGTGCTGCGTCGCCGCCATCGGCGTCGATAGAGGCCGTGCCGAAAAGAGTTGAGTGACGGCACGTGCAAGCATACTAACCTAACCCTATATAAGGCCCGTGAGAGCGAAACACAGTAAACTCGAATGAGCCAAGAGCGACGGGCGGTGCGGGGCAGTCGGGCGGGATGGGGCGCACACTCCTTCGGCGGCGGGCGAGAGAGTGCTGCGTCGCCGGCATCGGCGTCGAAAGAAGCCGAGCCGAAAAAAGTTAAAGTACAAACGTGCAAGCATACTAACCTAACCCTAGGTAAGGCATGTCAGAGCGAAAGACAGTAATTTCGAATGAGCCAAGAAAGAGCGGTGCGGGGCCGGTCGGAGCGCACCCTTTTCTCGGTGGCTGGCGGGCGAGAGAGTGCTGCGTCGCCGGCATCGGCGTCGAAAGAAGCCGAGCCGAAAAAAGTTAAAGTACAAACGTGCAAGCATACTAACCTAACCCTAGGTAAGGCATGTCAGAGCGAAAGACAGTAATTTCGAATGAGCCAAGAAAGAGCGGTGCGGGGCCGGTCGGAGCGCACCCTTTTCTCGGTGGCTGGCGGGCGAGAGAGTGCTGCGTCGCCGGCATCGGCGTCGAAAGAAGCCGAGCCGAAAAAAGTTAAAGTACAAACGTGCAAGCATACTAACCTAACCCTAGGTAAGGCATGTCAGAGCGAAAGACAGTAATTTCGAATGAGCCAAGAAAGAGCGGTGCGGGGCCGGTCGGAGCGCACCCTTTTCTCGGTGGCTGGCGGGCGAGAGAGTGCTTGCGTCGCCGGCATCGGCGTCGAAAGAAGCCGAGCCGAAAAAAGTTAAAGTACAAACGTGCAAGCATACTAACCTAACCCTAGGTAAGGCATGTCAGAGCGAAAGACAGTAATTTCGAATGAGCCAAGAAAGAGCGGTGCGGGGCCGGTCGGAGCGCACCCTTTTCTCGGTGGCTGGCGGGCGAGAGAGTGCTGCGTCGCCGGCATCGGCGTCGAAAGAAGCCGAGCCGAAAAAAGTTAAAGTACAAACGTGCAAGCATACTAACCTAACCCTAGGTAAGGCATGTCAGAGCGAAAGACAGTAATTTCGAATGAGCCAAGAAAGAGCGGTGCGGGGCCGGTCGGAGCGCACCCTTTTCTCGGTGGCTGGCGGGCGAGAGAGTGCTGCGTCGCCGGCATCGGCGTCGAAAGAAGCCGAGCCGAAAAAAGTTAAAGTACAAACGTGCAAGCATACTAACCTAACCCTAGGTAAGGCATGTCAGAGCGAAAGACAGTAAACTCGAATGAGCCAAGAAAGAGCGGTGCGGGGCCGGTCGGAGCGCACCCTTTTCTCGGTGGCTGGCGGGCGAGAGAGTGCTGCGTCGCCGGCATCGGCGTCGAAAGAAGCCGAGCCAAAAAAAGTTAAAGTACAAACGCGATGCTAATGAGCGAGCCGTTGTCTCGACTAATATGTAGGGGGCGTTCGATCGAGCGTCTGGCTTGAGCGCTTGTCGGCCTAGCAGAACGGTCGCATTGTTATGCCCGGGTTTTAGGCACCGCTGCAGGCGGCCGGCAGAGCTCTTGTTTGTGCGAAACTGAATGGATCGAGCCCGAGAGAGGGCGAGCAAAGAAAAAACGCAAATCGCTCCGCCTGGCACTGCCGGCGAGAGCGTGGACGTCGCGGCCAGCGACTGTCGAAGCTGAGTACGGCCGCAGGCGATCGCCTCGGTCTTAAACGAATGCGACGAGCACGCGCCGGGCGGCCCAGCAAGGGCCGAGCGCAGCTGTCGCAGCTATCTGGTTGATCCTGCCAGTAGTGATATGCTTGTCTCAAAGATTAAGCCATGCAGGTGCAAGTACGAGTTCTCGTAAAGCGAAACTGCGAATGGCTCATTAAATCAGTCTTGGTTTATTTGGTCTCGTAAGCGAAGTGGATAACTGTGGTAATTCTAGAGCTAATACATGCATTAAGCGCCGACTTCGGGAGGCGCGCTTTTATCAGATCAAAACCGACCGGGTTCGTCCTGTGACGTTTGATGACTCTGGATAACCACGCGGATCGTACGGTCTCTGCACCGACGACGTATCATTCAAGTGTCTGCCCTATCAACTGTCGAAGGTACGCTACGTGCCTACCTTTGTGATAACGGGTAACGGGGAATCAGGGTTCGATTCCGGAGAGGGAGCCTGAGAAACGGCTACCACATCCAAGGAAGGCAGCAGGCGCGCAAATTACCCATTCCCGACACGGGGAGGTAGTGACGAAAAATAACAATACAGGACTCTAACGAGGCCCTGTAATTGGAATGAGTACATCCTAAAACTCTTAACGAGTATCCATTGGAGGGCAAGTCTGGTGCCAGCAGCCGCGGTAATTCCAGCTCCAACAGTGTATGCTAAAGTTGTTGCGGTTGAAAAGCTCGTAGTTGGATTTTGGGCGAGCGCCGCCGGTCCGTCGCAAGGCGTGTCACTGGTTGCGTTCGCCTCACCTTCGGTTCTCCGTCGGTGCTCTTGACTGAGTGTCGGCGGTGGCCGATAAGTTTACTTTGAAAAAATTAGAGTGTTCAAAGCAGGCTGTTCGCCTGCATAGTGTTGCATGGAATAATGGAATAGGACCTCGGTTCTATTTTGTTGGTTTTCGGAGCACGAGGTAATGATTAAGAGGGACAGACGGGGGCGTCCGTACTCTGCCGTTAGAGGTGAAATTCTTGGATCGGCGGAAGACGAACTACTGCGAAAGCATTCGCCAAGAATGTTTTCTTTAATCAAGAGCGAAAGTCAGAGGTTCGAAGACGATCAGATACCGTCCTAGTTCTGACTATAAACGATGCCAACTAGCGATCGGGAGGCGTTACCATGACGACCTTTCCGGCAGCTTCCGGGAAACCAAAGTCTTTGGGTTCCGGGGGAAGTATGGTTGCAAAGCTGAAACTTAAAGGAATTGACGGAAGGGCACCACCAGGAGTGGAGCCTGCGGCTTAATTTGACTCAACACGGGGAAACTCACCCGGCCCGGACACAGGTAGGATTGACAGATTGAGAGCTCTTTCTTGATTCTGTGGGTGGTGGTGCATGGCCGTTCTTAGTTGGTGGAGCGATTTGTCTGGTTAATTCCGATAACGAACGAGACTCTGGCATGCTAAATAGTTACGCGACCTTCTCGGTCGGCGTCTAACTTCTTAGAGGGACTAGTGGCGTTTAGCCACACGAGATTGAGCAATAACAGGTCTGTGATGCCCTTAGATGTCCGGGGCCGCACGCGCGCTACACTGAGTGAAGCAGCGAGTGTCTAACCTAGGCCGAAAGGTCCGGGTAACCCGTTGAACCTCATTCGTGATTGGGATAGGGACTTGCAATTGTTTCCCTTGAACGAGGAATTCCCAGTAAGCGCAAGTCATCAACTTGCGTTGATTACGTCCCTGCCCTTTGTACACACCGCCCGTCGCTACTACCGATTGAATGGTTTAGTGAGATCCTTGGATCGGCCCCGTCGCGGCTGGCAACGGCCGCGTCGGCGTGTCGAGAAGACGATCAAACTTGATCATTTAGAGGAAGTAAAAGTCGTAACAAGGTTTCCGTAGGTGAACCTGCGGAAGGATCATTACCGAAGGTGGTGGTAGGCCCCGGCCGACCGCGCACTTAATTGTCTTTGGGTGCCGCCGAGAGGGCGGCCGTCAATCGGGGTTCCGCCCCGTGCGACACGCGTAACACGTTGGCATAGCAAGGCAGCCGAGTGCGATGGTGGCTTCTGGGCACCGCGCTCGATGTGCCGCCGGCCCAGCCCGGCGGTCGCTCGGCGCCGTTTGTTGGTGTTCTTGTGCAGTTGTTGTCGGCGATAGAAGTTTCTTTTCAGTTGATTATATTTTGAACGCTGTTCTTCCTTGTGTTCCGACCGGCTAATTTTTATCGATAATTGCTTTTCTGTTTTGACGCGAATTTCGCGGGCTTTACTGCACCTGACGTGTCACGCGTGGCTCATGCATATCGACTTTACGCGTCGTAGGACGTTCTTGTTTAATCTTGTTATGGTGTCAGTGGTGTGGTTTCGCATTATTCGCTTTACTGACTTAGCGTGTGGGTGGCATTTGGTCTCGTTAGGTAGAACTGTGGTGAGGGTATCGTAACGGGGCCCCATATGACCATCGTCGTCATTTATTGCTTTAATTGTTCATGTATTTTTATTTTTCATTCTGCTTTCATTTAATAACTGCTTTCTAAATTTAGTTGCTATTATATTCTAATAACGTGATCGTTCACGTTACCTGTCAGTTTCTTGTCGATTCAGGCCTTTGGAGCGTTATCATATGTAAGTTTATTTTCTATTAACTTTCTGGTTATGCATTTTCGTTCCGCCCTCATCTTGTGATTGTATATTGATTATTTCACTTTATTTACAGTCAACCGTTTTACAATAAACGCGTATGACATGGAACATCTGTGTGCCTAAATCTGACAAAGTTGAATATGACGCATTTGTTGAAGAAGTCGCCAAATACTGAAGAATCTGAAGCAACAGTGGCTTCATCGTCGACGAGTATGGAAGAAAGTAAATCCGTAACCGATAATATACTTGAGAGCTTGCCATCCTTAACCACACTCAGGCAAAAACGTGTCAACATAGAGACCGAGCTTAAATCATTGTTGACCAATAGTCGGAATTTGATAAACGAAAAGGCTCGGAGATCGCAACTGGCATGCCCTAAAGCAGAGTTATATTTTAAACTGGCCGCTTATAATCAAATTATATCGAACATATCACCTCAAATTCGCAATGCAGAGTCAAAAGCTGCTTTCGAAGAAGGCGTTCGGAGCGTGATATCTGAAGTTGAAGGTATGATCGAAGAAATTGATAGTTACATCGACCGCGAACCTGAAACATCGTGCGTGGCACCTGACGAAAAGAACTCTAATGTTTCAAGCGGAAGTCTGGAAGATAACAATCAGCCAGCTCTGGCCCAACAGCCGAATGGTGAAATGGGGGCGGCGATTGACCAACTTCCAGAGTCTAGCTTGGCGGAGAACGTAACCCACGAACCACAAAGACGAGAACACGATGATCGTCGAGAGACACCATCTCTCCCAAAGAGTAGCTTTATGAACACCAGGTTCAATGACTTTGACGAACGCGATATGTTAGAATCAACTCGAAGAAAAAGTGCCCGCTTTGAACCGGAGACTTTTACTACGACAGATACACGTCGTGAATATACGATTTCTTACACTTCGAGTCATTATCAAAATCCTTCACCAGCAAATCAAATGCCGTTGCCAGACCAGTCGGTAGACTCCTGGATCGATAATCTCCAACCAAATCAAGCAGGATCTAGAACGGTAAATGATAAAATTTCTCTAGCTGAGCAAACGTGTTTATCTTTGAGTTTAAATTCTAAAATGTGGGCTGAGCATCATTTGCCGCCGGTCCAAATAAGTCCGTTTGATGGTAGTGCTATAAATTGGCCTAATTTCATTGAATTGTTTTATGAAAATGTGCATTCACGTTGGACGACGATGGTCAACGCATGGTGAGATTGTCCTCATATTTGTCGGGTTCGGCGAAGCGTCGCGTTGAGGGATTAGGTACCGCCGGCAGTCATTACATACTGGTTTTGAAAGAATTGAAACGCCGCTACGGACAGTCTGTATTTATTGCACGGGCCGTGCTTGACCGTGTTGTGAACGGTAAGCGTATTTCGCCTCTCTCGGCCGATAGATTACTTAATTTTCACTCAGACGTCGTGACTGCGTGGTGAATCTAAAAAAGATGTGTTTTTTGGCTGACATCAGTAGTGTCGAGAATGTAAGGAGAGTTTCAAACAGGATTCCTCAAGAACTGAATTCGAGTTGGAATAAATTTGTTGTGGGTTTTATTCACGAGAACTCTAATCCGACATTAATAGCTTTGAGCAATGGTTGTGGGAAAGAACTGAGAAATCGCCAATCCTTTTTCTCCTGATGTTACTTGCAATGTCACCAATAGAGTTGACAATGAGAGGCCCGAAACCGGTCGTCGCCAGTTAATTACGTCACCATTTTCAACGTTAACAAATTCGGAATCTGTTAATGCCTCATGCAGTGACGCACTACGTTGTCAATTCTGCAATGCTGGTCATTCTTTAAGAAGTTGTGATGTGTTTTACGGTGCAACCGATGACGTAAAACGTAATTTTGTTGTAGAGTACAGACTTTGCTTTAAATGTCTTGAACCGGGCCATCGTGCATTTATGTGTAGATGTGATGTCAAGTGTAGTATATCCAGTGGGAAACACCATGAATGTATTCATGGAATTCGCATGTTTGAAAGCGTCCCAAGACCAACAAACCGACAGGGTGTAAACAATGCGATGTCGGTAACCACTACGGTTCAATTTCAGTTGCTACCTGTATTGGTTAGAGGAGCTAATGGACGCTCCGAATATACCGTTGCTTTGCTCGATTCGGCAAGTCAGGTTTCTCTCATTCATCCTAAACTTAAAACTAAATTGGATTTGCGTGGATGTCGTAAAAAGCTTATGTTAACCACCCTGGCGGGAACTGGGATTTCATATGATTCAGAAGCGGTTGGATGTTTTGTACATGACAAATTAAATCCCGATGGCAAAGAACTAGCTCTAAAATCAGTTTTCGTATGTGACAATAGAATTCCCCACCCTGAAAGACGTCAAACGGATTTTGAAACTTTCATCATTTACGCGGAATACCACTCCCTGTATTAAAGAAAACGAAGTTATGTTGCTCATAGGTGCGGACCATCCGTTTGCCCACTTTCAACTAGAAAGACGTGTAGGGGGGGATAACGAGCCTATTGCTATTAGAACGCCACTTGGGTGGACTTTGCTAGGTGCAAACAAACGCGCTGGTGAAGTCGTCCTAATTCAGGCCAACTGTCATTTATTACACGACGATTACAATATCTTGCAAGAACAAGTTAAGCAGTTTTGGAGTACGGACGCGATAGGAATGGTTTACAACATAAAGCGAGCCGAATCAGTGGAAGATCGCGTGGCTGCGGATATGGTTAAAGCTAAAACGTCCATTGTTGATAGGCATTATCAAGTTGGCTTTTTGTGGCGTCACGATGCTTCCATTATGCCGGAGAACAGTCTTATTGCCCGCACTGGATTTAAAAATCTGAAATATCGACTTTTGAAAAATGACTGCCTGAGAGACATGTACTGCACGTCTATGAGGAAAAATATCGAACGTGGCTGGGTGCGAAAACTGACCGATAAAGAACGGGATACTTTGGGTCCTCGAACTTGATATCTGCCCCATCATGGAGTTCAGAATCCGAATAAACCCGGCAAGATAAGAATAGTTTTTGACGCCGCTGCTACATATTGTGGAATCAGTTTAAATAATCAGATATATCGTGGACCTGATCTTATTAATAATTTAATTGGTGTTTTACTGCGATTCCGAGAAAGACCCGTTGCATTGAACGCTGATATTGAAGCCATGTATCATATGGTGCGTCTACCGCAGTCAGACACCGATTCAGTTAGATTTTTCTGGCAAGAAGATCTAAGATCAACATCCCCACCTGATGTATATCAGTTTTTAGTAAGGATTTTTGGTGCGGTCGACTCGCCATATGTTGCAAATTACTGCCTTAAACAAACCGCGCTTGATAATACCAGCCAATTTTCAACGGAAGCAGTAGAAACTGTTCTCAGGGATTTTTACGTAGATGATCTGCTTTCATCAAAATGGAATGATGACTCCGCTTTTTCCGTCGCACAAGAAGTTTCTAATATGTTAGCAAGTAGGGGTTTTCGTTGACAAAATGGCTTTCAATTCCAAAACATTATTTCGAAATTTAACACAGAGGATCGTCTTAATCCTGATGTTGATCTAGATTTTGATTGTTTGCCCGTTTCTAAGGCGTTGGGACTTCACTGGAACACTAATGACGATGATTTCTTCTTTATTTACAATTCGTTGGCAAAACCTGTTACAAAAAGAGAGGCGCTAAGCGCGACGGCATCGGTTTTTGATCCTCTCGGAATTTTAGCACCTATTATTTTAACTGCAAAACTACTTATACGGGAGTGCTGGAGAGATGACTTGAAATGGGACGAAAATTTGGTGACCGTGGGAAGAATACTTGGGGAGACTGGACCAAATCGTTAAAACAATTGACTAATTTTCGTGTGCCTAGACAATATTTAGGAGTCTCGAAAACCGACGCCACTTATGAGCTCCACTTGTTTTGCGACGCGTCTGAACAAGCTTATGGTACCGTGGCTTACTTGCGTGCCAAGAAAGGCCAGTGTGTGAATTGTAGTTTTTTGATGGCCAAATCAAGAGTCTCGCCGATGAAACATATGTCCGTTCCCAGACTAGAGCTGCAAAGTGCCTTATTATCCGCGCGTCTGCTGAAATTTTTGCGCAAGTCTTTAACCCTGCCCATCACATGCGAAATGTTGTGGTCAGATTCTACGTGTGTTCTGAGATATCTCAGAAACACTAAAACAAGATTCAAGACATTTGTTGCAAATAGACTGCGTGAAATTCTTGACTACACTGAACCTGCGCAGTGGCGTTATGTCAATACCCCAAATAATCCAGCGGATTGTTGTACGAGAGTCATGCCCATGAACAAAT